TCTAGTTTCACAGCTAGATATATATCTATCTATAGATAGATCCTGCATTTTCTATTTGGTGGAACATGCAACTGAAACAAGTATATATGAATTTCTTTATCTTGGGGCTATTTGTGAAGGATGTTTCTTCTATAGAGGTTGCATTTGTATCTAAATATGGAAAACAGATTAGAAAATATTTTACTATGAGGGAAAAGTACAAAGAAGGGAAGAAAATGGTCTGTTTTCTTCTAACGGTGAAAAAAAAATAAAGTATGCAACAAGGTTATTTTTGGTTCTATAAAGTCATGAATTAGTGCCACTGAGACCATTTGCAGTTCATAGGAAGCCCTGTGGTTATTTTACAGCATGCTATGAAGACTGAGTCACAAGGACTCTTACCGGGAGATGGGATTTGGGGACATCCCTAAGTGCATTTTTTTCAGATACTTGTGTGAAGAGTTGTGTTAAAATTTCTAGGACTGAAAGAGTCCCAAACCTGCTTGCTGTTACTTAATCCTTGTTAAGAAAATTCAAACATTCCAAAAAGTGCAGAATTATTTCTATAAGAAAAATAAATGCTCTTTGTCATTTTCTCTAGAAATGTGATGTATACATTAGGGTATTTTTTCTGCTTAAGAGTTAACAGACAGTTAATGCTTAATTAATAAAATTTTGTGTGAGCATCATCATCCTCTAAGGCAAATTCACAAGGTCATGAACATAGATAAACTCTTAAAATTCTATTTTCTTGTTAATGCCATGTCTTCATTTGGATCCCAATACTTTTTTAAAAAAAGCAAAAACAAAACCCTAGAAACCAATACCCAAGCACAAAACACCCTTAACAAGTGTCACATGTCTTGTGTAGCAGAACTTTTAGCCTGCTTGAATTTACTCACTAATTTGACATCAAATATCCTTGATATAACTCTATGAATCAAAGAATTTTCACCTTAATAGATAAAGACTGCATAACCTGGTTGGTAAAGATAATATTTGACACAGAAATCAATACCATTGTTCTTTTATATACCTCAGGCACACTATCTGATTCTAATCTGGCACTTCTTGAGATGTGACTAAGATATTTTCTTGGGGAAATAAATAAAGTCTGAGTTAATCATCAGTGTGGGAAGGTATTTTTAAAGTAGAAGCATGCAGAACAACTGTATCACACAAGGCTTACAGACTGCCAGTGTAAATACCATTGTCACATTCATGTAGTCACATAAGATTATTAAATTTGGGGGTGATATTCTCATGTAACACCTACATAGTTCATCAGCTTCAGAGGAGCTGCATAAATGAGAGTAGCAGTTGACCTTTACAGTTCATGTACTGAGTCACAACTTCATCTCCAAAGCTGCTGGAACCGTAATGCACTTCGCCTTTACATCCATTTTATCTGCCTGCTAAATATAAACCTGTTCTGGAAAGTTAAAGTGCACATGTGACAGGGGCCACTTTGGATAAGCCCCAGCACTCAGACACTCTGCCCTATTAATGGTTCCATCCTGGTTCTGCCTAATGCTCCCCAGCGCCGGTGTTTGCTTTCTCCTCGATTACCTGGGCTCACACAATCTATAAAAGCAGCAGAGGAAAGCTCCCCGTTCATTTTCTGCTACAGTTCTGTCTCTTGCTTTGCAAATCCTGTTTTAACAAAACAGGACCAAACTTCTCTGTTCATTTAGCTGGAAATTGTCAAGCATCAGATGGATTTTAAATGCACTTTGGCATGGCAGAAATGTCAGAGGCATTCAGCTCACATAGGCAAACAAGGCTGTCTTTAAAAATTTTGACATCAGCTGGAAGATGCAGGGAGAGGTCAACAAAATGTTATTAGGACAATGTTAATTAGGACAAACCTTTATCCTGTGACGGTGCTATTTAAATCTGCAGAGGGAGAGGAATCTGGAGGAATGGAAACCGTGCCTGAGCACCGTTTCCTAAGGCTGTCAACACTAATTGCAATGTAAGACCTTCTGTTCTTCCTGCCCTATAACAGAGCAAACCTGCATAGCTCTAGAATTTACAGGATGCTGTCTCAGTTACTGCTGGCACCTTCAAAATTATCTTGTCATAAAAATACTACTTTCCAGCAAAGAGATAATAGGTATTTCTTTAAAGGGGGTAGCTAGGGCAGTACTAATGATTTCTGTATCAGCTTGGTTTTGACAGTATTATTTAGAAAAGAGTCGTGAAAAATGTCCTTACCATAGCACTATAAAAGCAGAGACAGATAAGGCTTTGAAACTTCAGTGTTCAAAATGTTGTGAACTAAATTAAGATTGAGGGGGTGGTGGATGGCTGCCTACTACTGCATACATTAAACCATAGTTTCTGTGTGTGGAACTGCTTACTTGCTTCTAAGGATTTCAGCATTTGCTGTGTACAAATATTTATAGTAGGCAAACCCAAAATTTCTTTTTAAATTTCCTTTTAGAAACGGTGCCTGATGCTTCCCATCTCTAGCTCAAACCACAGTTTCCACATCACAGAAGGATGCACAAAGCTGCAGGCTATTTGAGGGAATGTCTGCGTGAGTATTTGTTAAATTTCAGTGCTCAAGACTTTCATTTACTGCATCTGTCTTAAAATTCATCAGAGGGGGCAGACCAGGCTGGTAATTAAGGACACCCTCAGAAGTGAAAGGCGTGGGTGAGAGTCCCCACAGCACACTTGGCAAGTGAGCAAGAGTGAAAAGAAAGCAGCAGCATCCTCAGATTCAGTGAGAATTGCTGGGAATATTTGGATTGTGAAAAGAAAGTGAGAAATACCATTGTGAGAATTCTGGTGGTGTTTACACAGTGCTTGAGACAAGGCTGAGGTGCCCCTGCATCTCATGTTGCCTTGACCTGGCTAAAAAAAAAAAAAAGCTTATTGTGCTGGTTTGAGTTTTTTTCCCTTTCTTTTCACTGTGATTTCTCAGGTTTTATGCTATATTTTTTTGCTTACTACTTTGTAGGAATCTTTATTTTCAACTCAGTTACATGAACTACCTGACCTGCAATCACCAGAGAAGAAGGGAGGGAGTTGGGTTTTTTGGTTCCACAAAATACCATGGTTGTGGAAGGAAGAGGAGACCTGAGAAACCCAAAAAGCAATAGTATTACACAAGTTTATGATAAGAAGAAGTTGGGCAACTTACATTACCAGAAGAGGGGAAGTGAAATTTTTCAAAGGGACCCCAATTGTGTAAAGTACAGCAGAAGCTAAATTACTGTGAAGTTGTGTTCCCAGGAATACCACAAAAACATCCAGACCTGACTGAATGTGTAATTTGGCTTAAACCAATTTAGCCTGTTTGAGCTGATAGTTTCACAGTGGTTTAAAAATGCAAAGACTTCACATATTGATGTAAAAAATAAAGTCCTCTACTTGATTTTAAGTGAAATTAACATCAGCAAAAACAAGTGTCAGTTCATTAGAAAATGTACATTATGACAGAGAGAAATTACAGAAAAATTAATTAAAAAGGATGTAGCCTTAAAACCTGTTTGACAATTATTTGAGTCTGTTCTTGTCCCCCTATTAACATGAGTAGACAAAAACCACACCACACAGGAAAGAGACCTAATAATATCTTTCTCATGGTGTGCATTAAAGGGCAAGTGAGACAATTTAAAGATTCTGGGCTAATGAATTCAGATGTACTTATTTATATTGTTACTACTTGATTTTTCAAGACCTCTAATCAGGCTGCAAATGTGAGACAGTGGCACAATGAAACATAATGGTGTCAAATTTAATACCGATGGGCATCATTTTCTCTACTTATGAATCATCTGTCAATAAAAAGATTTGGAAGCCAGCAGCAATAATCTAGGAATTATTTTCATACTTATTAGTAAAGGAATTAAAGCTGATTGTGCTAATATGAGGCAGTGGGTAACTTCTCCCTGTGTTCTGGTGGCTTTTTTTTTTCCTCTTAGTCCTTATCAGGTTTACTTGTCCTATTCTTAATCTTATCAGCCGCATTTCCACTGCCTAGACTGTCAAAGGGACACCAAGTGCTGCAGATAAAATGCTGGAGGTGTAAAAAGCTCCTGCTCAGAAGCTAAATCAGAATCACATGTCAACACAGTTCAGGCTCAGGCTCTGGCAGGATGGTAGGATCATTGTTTTTAATGCCATTTACTAATTAAAAACGAGTCCCAGATTACGGAAAGTCTGGAATGAAGCGGCTTACTAAAGTGATGGTTTAGCTTCTTGAACCGGCTACATCAGAGTCTGTCATTAAAATGTAATTTATTTGAATATTGCTCAGCAGTTTCCAGATGCTCTTCTGAGGAGAGGCGGCGCGGTTTGTGTTTCACACAATCAACCCCCCGTGTTTCGGCCGGAGCTCGTTGTACCCCGATGGACACGCGTGGCAGGACTGCGGCAGGTGTATTTTATTCGACAGATGTACTGTAAAGGCATTACAGCAGATCAGCTGGATTTCTTCCTTTAAATGTACACTGTGAGATCCAACTCGCAAGCCAGCTGTTTCTTATCGGCCCGTGTAATCTTCCCGAGCCCGGCTTTGCCTCTTCCTCTCGCAGCTATTTCTGTAACGGGATCGGACGAGCGAGAGCACCGCTATGAATTTTAATGCTTCCACTGGGGAATCCCTGCCGCCTCCTCTTTTTGGATGAGATCCTCGAGGAAAGACCCAGAACAGAGCGAGGAGAGGAGGAGGCGGAGGAGGAGGAGGAGGAGAGGGACGGCGTAGCCGCGGTACCGGGGAGAGCGGGAAGGGGGAGCCGCGGGGCGCACTCAGGGACCGTGGCACGGCGACAGCGAGGCGGGCACCGGGGCGGGTGGGAGCCATGGGGAAGGAAGGATGGCTCGGGGCGTGTGGCGCTGCCTGACCGCGGCACGTCACCAGCGGCAGCGGCCGGAGCGCCGCGGTCCCGCCACCGCCCCCGCACACATGCACCCGCCGGCATCCCCCGGGGCCGGCCGTGACCTGGACAGCGCCGAGGGCATCCCGCTGGGTCCGGGCGACAGACAGAGCCCGCGGACCGGGCGCTAAAACCGCCTCGCCATCCGCACGCCGCGGTCCGAGAGGAGGAGCCCCGGGTGCCGCGCCAGCCGCCGGCACCGTCGCCGCTCCCGCCGGCACCCCATGGATAAGGCGGGCTCGCTGCACAGCTCGGTGCCCGGGCCGCCGCCCCGGCTCTACCTGCCGCGCAACTTCAGCTGCAGCGCCTGCCTCTATGGCAGCCTGGCCGAGCAGTGCAGGGCGGGCTGCAGCCCCGACGGCGACGCCGCGCCCACGCCCGTGGTGCGGGAAGCGGCGGACGAGAAGCCGCCGCCGACCCGCGGCCGGGAGCCCACGCTGCCCGCCGTGCCCCCCAGCCCCACGCAGCGCCGCCGCGCCAAGTCGCTGCCAACGCCCGGCGACCGCAGCCTGCGCCCCGCGCTGCAGCAGAGCCCGTCGCGCCGCAAGACCGTGCGGTTCGCCGACTCGCTGGGGCTGGAGCTCACCTCCGTACACCTCTTCTGCGAGGCCGACCTGCCGCGGGTGCCGCTGCCCGCGCCGCCCACGCCGCGCCCCGCCGACCTTCTCAAGACCAGGAAGCCGCCGGCGCTGGGAGACCTGGAGCCGGTGCTGTTCGGGCCGCCGCCGCCGCTGCTGGAGCCGCTGTTCCCGCCGCAGCCCGGCGCCAGCCCCGGCTTCGCGGAGCGGGTGCGGCAGCACAAGGTGAGGCTGGAGTGGGTGCGGGCAGAGCCGGCGGGGCTGCGCGGGGCCGTGCGCGTCCTCAACCTCGCCTACGAGAAGGTGGTGTCGGTGCGCTACACGCTCAATGGCTGGGCCAGCTGCGCCGAGGCTGCCGCCACGTACCAGCCGCCCGCGCCGACCGACGGCATCAGCGACCGCTTCGCCTTCCTGCTGCCCCTGGGCGCCGCCGCCGCCGCCGCCGAGACCACGCTGGAGTTCGCCGTCCGCTACCGCGTCGCCGGCGCCGAGTACTGGGACAACAACGAGGGCAAGAACTACCGGCTGCGGGGCCGGCAGCGCGTCCCGCCCGCCCCAGGCCCCCCGCAGGACCCCGACAGCTCTGCCTGGATCCACTTCATCTGAAACGGGGAGCGCGGAGCCCGCGCAGGGCCGGGGGAGCCCTCCCGAGTTGTGTTTACAGAGGGGGAATTTGTGTTTGCTGGGTTCTAGCGGGGCCGGGGGGAACCCTGGCTCGCCTCCCGGCGCTCACGGGCTGTGGGCAGGGAGGCCGGGCGCGGGTTCCCCCGCAGCGTCCCCGGCACTGTGGCTTCACCAAAGCAGCGGCTGCCGGCCGGGCTCCGGTGACAGGGCCGGGATCCGCAGGTGAGTGCACATCCTCCCGGCCCCGGAGGCCAGGCTGTCACCTCGGCAGGTTACACGGAAGGCGCTGCCACAGGGCATCCTCCGTGTTTGCCTAATCCTGCTCAGGCAAAGCTCGGATCCGCCCTCAGCGCCTCGCTGACCCGCGCCTGTTAATTGTCCCGCGGGGTCAAGGGCCTGACAGCGCAGGCTGAGGGGCAGATCAGTTCTGAACCCAAAACCACAAAAGTATGGATGCCCCAAAGCGTAGCTCTGTTTCATTACACAGTGAAAGTATTCGATTTAAAGCAAAGATTTTTTTTTTATTTTTGAACCCTGTTTTCAGGTATTTAATCATACTTAGAAAGCAAAAAAATAGCGTCACATCCTATTTGAAACGCAACTCACTGAGAGGTTTTTAAAAGAAAGTGTTTTGGTTTAGAATTCATGCGGTAGGTTGATGGAAAGTTTGTCAGGATGTGGTGTTTGTTTCAGTAGGATTGGTCCCACAGAGCTGCTTGTGTTCAGGGCAGCAGGAGAGTTGTGGAATTGCACCAAAAGAGCGAGAGACGACAAGAGTTGAATCCCTAATTCCAGTCTGCATCATGAGCAACACCTTCATTTTTCTTCTTTTGACAGTTTAATTAAACAGTATCAGTGCAAGAGCCTGCTTTCTGAATTTCCTGCTCCAAATTCTTCATAATAATTTCAGTAAGTGATGGATTTTATAAAACTGGTGAGGTTTAATCAGAGAAATCAAAGAAACTTCTACCTTGCCATATAAAAGTATATCAATCAAATTTACACAGCATACTGACTTCTGCCTTCAAAGGTATATTTTAAATTATATCAGCACTAAGCAAAGCATTTTCCTTTTTAAACATGCTTTTTCAGGAGTTCAGCTGAATACAGGTTGTGCTGGTGCCAAATCTGGGTGCTAATTTTCCAGGATTGAGGCATGAATGTGTTTGCTGGAGAGGGGCCTCTGCAAATATAACTAATGAGAGTGGTAAAACCATGTCAGTGGGATTTTCTGGTTGTGAAGGGCTGTAAGATCAGGCATTTAGGTTTGAATTTTCTGTAGGTTTCAGGAGGAAATGCAATGTTTTAAACTGCATTTTGGTGTTTCTTGAAAGAGTTAAGTGTCCCAAGCAGCTTGAGTAATGTCTGGAGTAATGAGTTCTCACAGAACCTTTTGACTCTGGTGAGAACTGAGAGTAGTTTTGTCTCCTGAGGGTCGGATTCAGTCAGAATAATTAAACTTATAAATTCTGGGGGAAAAAGAGCTGTGGAAACTCAATGGGAAAAGAACATTTTATTTCATTTCTGTAGATTACTGGTTCTGATTTAATGGAAGTAATAGCAAGACTGCTTTCTGTAGTATTGGTAGCTTGGTTTTAATTTCTCAGTCAGTGTTCTAATCCCTGTGCTTTTAATGAAACTAAACAGAAATACACTGTCAGCATCTACTGAGTATTTCACATTTTAGTATATTAAGGTCCCCATCTTGTAATCCTGTAAGTTAGTAGAACACATTTATAAAGCTAGAATTGCACAAATAGGATCTTAAAATGTTCATGATTAAAACATACTAAGTGGTGTATTTGATAAAGCAAGCCCAAGTGTCTTTTAGTTGAACTTTTATAAGAGCCTTAATACTGGAGAGAAGGAAAAGGACTTGTCTCCATTTGAAAGCACTTTGAAATCTGGTAGAAATATAGCAAACCATCATTTATTTATGTGTTGTAGCTTTCCAAAGCTTGGCCTTTTTAACTGACAGAGTGAACCAACAGCAGTTATGTGGACTAATGATAATGCTTGGAGAAAAAAGATCAACTGATGCTGCAACTTTGCTTTTGAAGTTTTAACAGGATTTTCTGTTTATTGTTTCAATGGCTTTAAAAAACATGGACAGCTCTAAAAAACGTTTTTAATAATGAGCAATTCTAGAACTCCAAAATTATTTCCCAGTGATTGGCAGTTTTCATTGTTGTTTGATTTATGCAGCGTGTGTAGGTCTCCAAAAAAGTTTAAAAATCTCCTTCCAGCACCTGTGGCTTAAATACTTTCAATCTGGATTACCTAAGTGGATGTACCTGCATCAAGTGCTCAGGGAGGTTGTTGTATTTCACTTCATTTTTGATCATGACTTAAGTGAACTCACTTGTTCTTGGTTGGAATTTTGCAAGCAGAATTGAGTTTTATAATACTGTTCAGATATTACTGTTATTTATGGCCACCTTTGCCAAACACAAATCTGAATATTCAACATTTTGAAGCATACCAGGGGAGTGTTTTGCAAAACAGTCTCTTGAGCTTTCAACCAGTTAATCCTGACCTTAACCTAAATTTTGTGAGTAACTTTATCAGAGATTATTGATGAGACACATGCAAGTCCAGTAAAAGACTTGGTCTTGTAGGAGGTTCAGAGCCAGCTCCATGGGAAGGCTGCACCAGCTTTGGCCAGAGAATGCCATTGGTGAAGGCTGTGGAAGGAGGTTGAGGTGTTTTCGTGGAAATTATCAGTAGCCTATGCCAAAACTGCATTACTTCAATTACATATTTTCACTTCTGTCACATGAATTTATTTCTGAGAAAGGTTTATTCACATTCTCAAATACGTGTTCAGTTCAGAGTATTCTTCCACTGGCAGCATCCATGTAGTTTTCAATCCATTAGATTTCAATCTGAGCCCATCTATTCCATCTGATACTTGCTAGAAGCGCTGTGATAAGTGGAGATGAAATAGAAATGTCAAATGATATTTATATCATACATAAACAATGACTTTGAGGAGAAAAACCTGTGTTGAAAGGGGGTCATTTGCAAGTTGGCAGAACACCAACTATTTTATTGGGAGCTTGAGCAAAACATCATTTCAAACTTGTATTTCTAAAGAATATTGTTCAAGAAAAAACTTTCACAAGCAAAGTTAAATATTTGAAAATTTTCAAACCAATCTTCTTCTGGAAAAAAATTGTTTTAGATGCATGAATAGGGCTCATGCCACCTCCCTTTGCAAGTGATTCCAGGATGGTTTAGGCAAGGCAAAAATCCTTTGGTTGTGTACTTCCCTGGTAAGGGAATCATTCATTGCTTGTGTCTCTGCAGGTGTAAAAATGTGTCTGTCATTTATGGTGCAAAGCTGTAGCTTTATGGAATGTGCCATGCTGTTTTATGGGCATTAATGCTCATTTATCCAGAGCTGGGTTGTCCTGTGTGTCTGACAGACGTGGATGGTTGCTGCTTCACCTGGAACTGGTGGGCTTTTGCATGTGGCTCTATGCCTTCTGTGGCAATATTTTGGAGATTTACCCTAATTATTAGAAATCCTAAAACAAATGAGAACTATTAAGTGACCATGAATGGAATTTCAGCTAGCTAAACGTATTATTTATTAGCATAAAATCAGTAAATGAAGGTGTTGCACTTACTTTCACTAAATGTACATCATTTCAGGTAAATTAATTTCTTTCTCCTTTTACCATTTGCAAGTAACTTTTTGATGTGAATGTGTGTGCCTCAGTATCTCAGTAAACAACAGAGGAAGTGCACACTCAGTTGTTTCAGCAGATGTGAGGGGCAAATATATCACTTGAATGAACAAATGTCTGTTCATGCATGAGCATCATCCCTTTACAGATATGTGAAATGTTTTTCCATAATGCCAACAGGCAAGCAGCTGCTAATTTTAATGTAAAGTAACCTGCAGAAATATTCAGAATCTGATTTTTTCAACATATCTTATATTCAAATTTTTATGTGCCTTTCAGCATTTCCTAGAAATAAAGCTCATGTGTTCCTTAGCTCTCCACCACAAATCCAATAATGAACTTGTCATTAAAATGAAATTTTTAGAAAAATACAATAATCCTAATTCCTGACACATGATTTCTGGCACAGCTAAAAATGTATCTATAGAAGCCAGAAGGATTTGGTAATATTTTTCCCATATTACAGTGAAAAATTTGTCAGTCAGAAATGCCTTCCTGGTACACCTCTACATTTATGTAGTTAAGTAAAAAAAGAAACCAATTATGACTACAGTTAATATAACAGAGTATATTTGTTGTATATACTCACTTCTTGCACAAATATTCTAAATATATATTCTCTCTGAAGCCAGAAATTCTAGTTTTCTACAAAATCCGTTCATGGAGATCTGGCCTTTTCAACTTCTACTGTTACTTATCTGATGCTGCATAATGCATATTGTTAAAATTTTTTATGGGTTTAATCTGTCTACAGGATTTATATCATGAAACAGAAGTGCTCAGTGCAAGGAATACCTGAAGTAAATTACTTTTACCTTCCAGCTGTTCTGCAGGGCTTTTTGGCAAATCCCCAGCAATTCTGTTTCCTGTACATACTCCACATGCACATGCTTGGAGTCAATGGAGGGATTATTAATGGAATGGAAATATTTTTGAGCACTAAAATGAAGGATTTTCCTACATAAATAGTTCAAGGCAAGAAGTAAATATAGTCAATATTGCTGTAGAACAAAGCCCACTAGCCTTATGAAGAGCTGATCAGGATTTTGTTTAAATGGAAGACAGTGGTGTATTTCAAAATTAAATATGTTCAGGGAAATGCACCTGTTTCTGTGAAGGTTCTCTCAGGTTCAGCTGATAGAATTGCCCTAAAATAAAGAAGTGATAAGAGTATTTCCTTACATTTGTGGATGGGCTTGAATGTAGGTCTTCCAGGAGCAAAGTGGACACTGAGCTGTAAAACCATTGGCTATTGCTTGGAGGTTTTCTTTATCCAACTTACAAATACTGTTTTAAAATCCTCACAGAAAGGGTTTTTGACCCTGGGTTTTCCCCTCTCATGTGAATATCCTCTTCATCAATCACTCTGGCTTTTGATTGAGGCCTCTGTTGTTGAGGAAAGATTTGATTTTATTTTTATGCTGCATAGGAAGATTATTTTACATTAGATTTTTGGAGGGGAAGGCAGGGAGATTTTTTCCTTGCAATTTTCACTTTATAGATATTAAACAATAGCATGAAGTATAAAAATTGCTTGAAATTACATATGCACTAGTGATTCCAAAGAATATAGCTAAGACTAATGTCAAGTGTGAGATGTGCTTTTTAAAAAACATATGTGCTTTGATCTAGAAAGGCAGGGAGAAAGTCCTAGACTGCAGTGCAAGCTATTAATGCCAGGGATTTCTTTCTATGCAATTCTATGGTGCACCTGTTTTTATAGGGATTAACTTGATTGGTGTAGTTCATGTATCAGTGTGTTATGTGTAGAATACTCTGTTCAAAGTGTCATTAAGGAAACTGTGTGTCTTAAATGGTGTTACAACTTTAGGCTCTTTTTTGTCTAACCTGACTTCACTAAATCATAAGAAACTCCTCTGAATAACAATAACCAGACAATATTTCATAACATTGCATAATCCAGTCTCACACGTTACACTTATCACCTTCTAGGACAAAAGTTGTGTTACTGTTGTGAGTTTTAAAATTTTTTGTATTTCTGACTCTTAAAAAGCCTAACTGTGCTACACTTTTAAACACAAAGAGCTAAAAAATGTGTTTGGAAAGCTGATCAACAGTAGTCAAACTAAAATTGGCTGGAATTATTCGTGTGTCCAGTTTCTGAACTGTGGTATAAAAAATGTTTGTGACCCTCCTGTGCCTCCTGCATGGAGGGACAACCTGCCAGACACAAACCCAGGCTGCACTGCAGGAAAATCGCTGTTCTTGGAGAGGTTTGAACAAACCCAACTCCTCCCTTGTAGCATTACACAAACAGAGGTTCTGTCTGTTGGAGAGAGTGTTCTTCAACATGCAGGTTTTTATTGCTGTTTCTTTGATTTACTGTGATTTCATTCTGAGAAAAATATTGTTACTTAACTCTGTACTTGACTAGTAAATTACTTTTAGCTGTAGTGTCTTTCTGCAATGTTTATATTTCACCAAATAATCTTTGTTTCTAATGTTTGTAAAAGTTAATGTAATATCACCAAAAGTCAAAAATCAACATTTTCTAATAATGCCTTGTAATTTACCTAGCCTTACAGTATTTCAGAAGATTTTCCACCAAAACTGCATCTAGTCACTGCTTGTCACAATGATGAAAAAGAGATATTTATAAACCTGTAGCTTCTAGCTGCCATTAAAGATTAATGAGACGAATCGTGAGCATGTGGTGACTATAAACTCTTTTTTTTTTTTTTAAATTAAACCTACAAAAGATGATGGCTTTTTTGTTGAGGATCTGAAGCAATGATGTTCCAAAAGCTCTACAGTGCATGTTGGGATGTACCTGCAAATCTGATATTTGGGGCATTTCCCAGGCAGCCTTCCTGGGGATGTTCTCTGTGGAGGCTGCAGGAGGAGTCTGGTGAGGGGATGGGAGTGGGGGTAAATGTACATGGCTGTTTTTATTTTCTTGTTTCAATTGCACCATTTCAGCCCCATTTCAGCTCTCTGGGGCTGGGGAAGGGCTGCCTGAACTGCAGAGCTGAGGCTGTCCCTGGATCAGCTAAATGATCCCAAGCATTCTTCCAAATATTCTTTCTCTGTTCATTGCCTACTTTACAATATTTATTTCTTGAATTGTTACAATGTGCTGCCATTCAGTCTTTTTGTGTCTTCAGCATCTTCTGTTGCAATGCCAAGAACAGTTTTCAGCTTTTCTTTAAATAACAATTTTTAAGCCTTTTTTATAATACAGATAAAAGCCCTATAGCCACAAGGAGAAAAAATGTTCTGTGTTTGTTCTCATGTAATTGGTACAACTTATTTTTCTATCCTCTTTCAGAAACATCTGCCTAGCTGTCTCATTAATAATAATTATTTTTTGTGCAGGCATTTCTTTGGAAGGGTGCAGTAATTAATATTAGCCCTAGATTTTTTTTTCTCCAGAGGGAATTTTTCATGATTTAACCTCCATCTAATTTTTCTGTTCAAGTAAAAAAGAACTCTTAGCCCACATAAATTACAGAATCCAGAACTATTTTCTTAGCATACCATTACATAAATATTAGACTGCATAAGTTAGAATCACAGTGTGTAATTTAGATTTCTTTTTGGTAAGGAATATGCTTTGAATTTTAAACTGCTGTTATACTTGAATGCTCCTGAAGTAATGAGATTACAGTTCTGAGTGAAGATTATAATGAAGTTTAATGTAGTTTTACATTGTTCTTGGATTCATTTTTCTTTTAGTTCACCATTCCACGGGACATTACATGACTATGGTATTTCATCTGATGATTAATCAGAATTACATGTTGTAGATAGTCTTATATCAGAATTACATGTTGTAGATAGTCTTATTAATAACAGGAGTTAAAATTATTGAAGTATTCAGACAGTTGTACTACTGCTAATGATAATAATAATAATAATAATAATAATAATAATAATAATCGTGGATGAGGGTGATGCAGTGCAGGAAAAAGGAGCTGTACAAGGGTGATCTTACACCACTTTTACCACTGGCTTTGCCTTACCAGTTGTGGCACAAGTGAGGACTTCTCAGAACAGCCAGGAGTTGCCAAGAACACTCAATTTCCTCTTGATCCAGACCCACGCAGTAAAGAAGGGAGGCAGGTGATGGCAGAAAGCAGAAGTTTGTGTCCTGAGAAGTGCAGACTCATCCTCCTGTGCTGTGGATTGACTTTCATGGGCAGAGAAAGGTACAAGTGCTGTACCTGCATTTAAATGCTCCTTACACAAAATACATTCAACAGCATAAATAATTAAGCACTATAAACAAAAGACAAATAAAACAGCCTAATAGCAAAGGATGTAGGATACTTATACTGCATTAAAATAGATCAGGTCTGAAGTGACTGGGTTGTGCTTTGTCAGGAGGAGATAGCCATCAATATTGTGGGCAAACTCTGAGCAATCCAGATACCACAGAGTCAATTCTACTGCCAAGGACTGTTCTTGGACTGTCTCAAGGAGTGTGGGGAGAGAGGAGAAAATCACATCAAGGACACTCCTAAGCTGCTCTCAGAATTGGTCTGTGCCAGCTGCAGCATTTCTTGGTGGTACTTTGCAATGGTTGGACGTTGCTCCAGAGTTTTAACGTTGCCTCACAGGCATGAGCTCCTGTTCCCTGGGAATAGAATCCCCAGGGATGCTGCTTTCCATCACTTCAGTCACATAACAATGGGTACAATGAAAGGAGGTTTAGGTTCATTTCTTTGTTACATGCAGTGCTGTGAGAAATGCGTTTGTGTGTTTTAAACATTTCCAATGGCGTCTTCATCTTTTTGCTGCTCTCGCAGTTGCCCTGGGGGAGTTGGAGGTCCCTGAGCTGCGCTGAGCCTGCAGCCCCGGGAGCTCCCTGCCCGGCTCCAAGGCTCCAAGTGCCACCGTGTGGTGAATCGGGCAATAATTCCTGTTTTTACTTGCAGTCCTTTTTGCCAGAGCACCGTTTGTGACCTGAAGAATTTTTTCCACCGGTGACCTGTGTTTATTAAGTAATTCTGCGATATTCTCAGGTTTGCTTTCTCTTCTCCAGAATATTTAGTGCAGGTGGTGCAGTTCCCTTTGCTCTTTGCTGTGTGAGCTCCCCACACCACAGCAGAGAAGCCTCGAGTGCCCAGAGGTTGATTGATTGCTGCAGTTCAGTTTATCCACTCAGCTGGGCTGAAGATGGATGGCGTGTCCTTTCTGTGTCAGTCTGGAAAATTAAAACTCAGTGATGGGAACCATTTCTATGGGGAGATTTTGGATTCCCACCCTATCAGTGTGAAGGAAAAGGAAAGAGGATCCTCAGTCTCGAAAATTAAAACTCAGTGATGGGAACCATTTCTATGGGGAGATTTTGGATTCCCACCCTATCAGTGTGAAGGAAAAGGAAAGAGGATCCTCAGCCACAGGCCATCACTGGTTTGCAGACACCAGTGCATTGGATACTGAGATTTGCTGCACTTCTAATCAGAGCTGCTTAACAGATTGTCTCACTGCTAATTTAGACATTGCCCTTCTTTTATGCTCATCAAAACACTGCCAAGTATTTTAGTAGTTTTGTTCTTTCTGTTTTAAACACTGATTATTTTTCTCTCTCTCTAGTAAGAAGTAACAAATACATGATTTCTATCTATACACATTACAAGCCCAAGTGTCACAGAGAGATGCAGCACCCCACTGGCTGAAAATCAGAAAAAAATGTAAGGTATTCAAGCTTTTGGGGACTGATGTAGATAAAAATCTTGGAAAATAAAATATGGACTGCAAAACTTAGTTCCAAGTTTAGCTTCTATTAGTCAGATAGATAATTGGGGAGGTAAAGGAGGTATTTGGGGAACAGTGAGGAAGTGTTGGCACAAAGAAGGGTGATGATGTAATTAACCCCCAGGAGATACAGAGATGTAATTATTGGTTGTGGGATTATAACTTGCTGTAAAGCAAATCTCTCTATATTGAATCTATAACGTATATAAATTATCCTGTAATTGTAATTGTTAAGTTCTTAAGAGGTCACAGATGAAGTGCTTATTTTTGTAAGAAATCACCTCCTTTATTACTTATCTGTAGGAGCACACACTGGTGAAAAAGTTTGATGTTTTTTTCAGGTACTTTTCCCAGACAGTTGTCATTTATCCAGACTGATGTAGGTAAGCTGCTAATACAGTTTAAATGGGCAAAGTTTGAGAACAGACCAGGTTTGCCAGCTTTTATTGTTCCCTAGGTCATGACAGAAATTACTATTTTATTGATCAAAATAAAAGAATACAAACATTTTAAGGGAAAATGGTATAAAAATGCCCTAAAGTACTCGGGACTAACCTCTTTGAGGAGACCAACAAAGGTTACATGTTACATGGTAAATAACGAAGGGCCTGTTACTCTCTAGCCAAGTGGGATAAAAGCTGATGAAAGAAACAGTATCAAATAGAAACATTTTCCTGCATTCCTACCTCCATTTGCCCACACTTACTGTATTGGAAACAAACTTTCTCTTTCCCTTCCGAAGTGCAAACTGAGGCAGGGAGTTTGTAAGAGGCCAGGCCCAAGCTCCCAGCTCCCTGAGCCCTGAATGTTGTCTCAATAAATACTGCATGGAACTGTGAATAATGGATAAGGACTGAGAGTTTTTAAAACATTTACACTTGGTTTACAAGAGCCTTCTGTTTATCAGCCACTGCCAAGTTAGAGCTCCAGAGGAACAGTCAAACTCCCTCTTTCCTCTTACTCATTTTGCAGTTTAACTCCTGTGGAGAAGATGAAACCATCTTAAATACACAGTGGATTCTCTCCTGGCAGGGCTTTGATGTGTGACTTGTGCAGCAAAGGTTTGCTCCTAGGATCTAAACCCAAAAACCACCAGAGCAATTACTTTGACATCCTTTCAGATCATAAAAGAAACCCTCTTTTTTATACATTAGAAAGGTTTCTATATTACCAGCAGTGTATTTATGCACTTTAGAAGGCCAGTGATTCACATCCCTTAAGAAAGAAGGAACTCTCAAAGCAATATGAATTTTACTTTAGTCATCTCACAGGAATTAACGTTCCCCTGCTTCCTCTTACATTGACCTAAATTGTTGGGGTTTGTTCCCTTTTTGTGCTTAGCTGCTCACAACCATTTATAATTGTGGGGAAAAGTTTAAGACCAAAACTCTGCTGTACTACTGTGTTTTCCTAAAGTGCAGGTGTGTACAACTCCATCTTATCATCAGATGTCACATCAACTTTGAGTTGACATTTGTGGATTCATTAAATATTAATTCTAATGGAATCAGCTGCTTTAGTTCACTGGTTTGCAACAGGTAAGTTTTGGGTTCAGTCCTGTGGAGTCATTAGAGCAGTTTGGTACTTGATTTTAAATACAGACACACACAGACACAGGATATGTCAAATTATTGCTGATCTCACAATTTCTACAAGTACCTGGCTCTGCTGAAATCACCACAACTGCCAGGCAAAAGATGTAAAATTAATTCCTTAATTACTTGTGACTTGGGTAGTTCTTACTAGACAAAAATACAGCCCAAATAACCCACTGTAGAACCTTGATAAACAATCACTGCAGGAGCTTTGCACACTAAGAAAGCACAGAAAGGGGAAGGTAGGGCCCCAATCCCTCCTGCCTCACAGGCAGCACTATTTGATTACACAATTAAAAAAAAAAAAAAAGGAAAGCAGAGGATTAGTAAATTATATAAAGAAATAAAAATCACACAGAGAGGTAGTTGATATGGCTTCTCCTTTTTTGGTATCATCTTTGTAACCTTAAGAAAGAAGAACATGAGTAGGTTAGGAAGACACTGCTTTTCGGTGGTTTGGGAGCAATAGGAAAGTCCCCAGGTAATAAGAACAGTCATGTGCCTATGACAAAATTAACATGTTAAGGCTGCTATTACTAAATTTGATGTCAAATTAATCTATGGAACTATATATTTCAGCAAGTGAATTCTGCTTCCCAAAATATTACAGATAACATCTGCAGTTACACAAATCAGACAACGGAATAAAAAATCCTCACAGGTACACAGATGTGAAACACATTTATCACTGTAATTATTTATATGTGATCTTAAGTGATATTTTTCAAGTTGCCAAAACTGGATATTCAGTATTTCCTTAATTGATGACAAACTACACTGAGATATTTTATAGGAATTTATTTCATTATTCCAGCTCAGTCCTCAATGGATTTTATGTATTTCTCATAGGCATCTTCGGTCATCAGTTCATCAAGTTCAGCAGGATTTGCCACAGTCATCTTGATAAGCCAACCTGCAGTTAGGAAATCAAAAAGAATTGCTAATATCCTACAAGAACAATTCATTCATGTTACTGCTTTAGGAAAGCACTCCCAGCAGGAACAACCAGCCTTGGATCACTGGAGAATCAGCCAGGTTTTTGTGCAGGCAAAACAACATTTCGGTATTTAAAAAAATGAACAACCAACTAACATAAAAAATGTCCTTTTGAGTCAGAGCAGTTGTGTAATTTAGTGCTGGCTGTGACAGAGGCATAGGGAGATGCTGCCTCAAAAAATTAAAGGAGCCTGACCTCAAGATCATGGACTCTTACAAGATCCAAAACCCAGAAATGCAATCAAGGCAAATAGATGTAAATTCAGCCACAGTGTATATCTGAAACTAAGATGGTGTAAAACAGCTGTTCAAAGATGACACTGTGATAATGCTTTATATTAAATTTTACTGGGCTTGAACTATATTCAGTATATTCCATTTAAGTCTCCACACCATTAAGCTGGAAGAACAGGAATTGCAGAGCCATTTGTAATAGCAAGAATCCACAGACTATTCACTATTCAAAGATAAAAGTGACATCTTACCATCTTTATAACAGGATTTATTGACAAGCCCTGGATTATCTGCAAGGGCAACATTAATCTCAGTCACTTCTCCTGAGAGAGGGGAGTAGAGTTCACTAGCAGCTTTCACACTTTCCAAAGCCCCAAACTCATCTGAAACACAGAATATGATTGAATGTTCCTAAGAGGAAAACACAAAGCACTTCCCTTTGTTCAGTCAGACACTCTGGTGATGACCCAAGCAGTGAAGAAATGTCTTATCTTGTGCAAGAAAACAGATTGAAGTCACCCACTTTATGACAGGGATCAGCATTATTAAATTTGATGTTTATGCTCTTGAATTCTGGGGAATTTGTGCTAGCTGGCTGCTACAGAAGGGACAGGAGCTCCTCACATTTGGGGAATCCTTTGCCTGAAGCCCACAGCACACATGATACTGACTTAGAAGGAACAACACCCAGCTCTTACTGCAAGAGATTTAAATATGCCTTTTATCCACAATTTAAACCTTTTTATTTGTAATTTGGTTACAAAATCAACAAAGCCACAATTTCAGCAATCCCATTTTCCCTTCAGGAACACTATCAAGTGTTACATCTGCACTCACTGGAAAACACACATTAGTATTCAGGAGCACCACACTGGAAGCACCCAGAGCTCTTCCCTTTTCCCTGTTTTGTAGGGAGTTATGGAAATGGTGCCTGGAGCAATGTTAACCCAGAGCAGCTCCCAGGCACAAACAAGACAGAGGCTGAAGGAACAGGGAGCTGTCACAGAGTAGATAGGCACCAGGACAAGGGATCAGGGAACAACTTGTTCTGGGAAAGCCTGGAATTAGACTGAGGCCAGAATGGGTAGAAAAGAGAAGAACTTAAATGGAAATGAAATTCCTTCAAATAAAGCAAAACTACAAGTTGGTTAATTAAAATCCTACACAGAGGGACCTTTTGTCTAACAGTCAGCATTCAATGCAACAGATTTGGCCAAAACACTTTGATGGGGATCTATTCCACAAGAAGGATGGCAGAAGAAAGGCCTTCTACTTTACCTCATAAACCCCCATTTCTTTTTTAAAAATTGTCTCAAAATAATGACAATTTTTTCTTCATATACTACTGAGACAGCTCTCCATATTAATACAGGAAAAGATTTTCATTTCTTCCTGTTAATGTTCACTTTCTTTAACAGGAAAAGTTGCATAATTGAATGATGAAGAATGTAACAACTTGTACACCACTAACAAGCAAAAACTCTGTGTCATATTTGATACCTCAAAATTACTGAGTCTCTACATTCAGAGAAAAATTAGAGCTTGATATAAATTAGAAGTTTCACATCATGCAACTCACAAAGTGCATAACTGGAGAATTGCAAATCAACACTTGCAAGTTCAGATCAAAGTATAAATATTTTAAAAATATAGATACAATTATTACAAAAATATTTTAATGCTTTATTTTTGAATCTTCACAGTTTAAAAACTGTGTATCTTCTGCTGCTAAGCACAGTCTGACAGTGAGAATTTAAAATTAAAACTGTCATTTGTAGAAATACCTGAATTTCAGGTAAAAGGCATCCAAAAGCTGTATAATGGTATTAATAACCATAAATATTATTTCAGAAAATTTATCTTTGCAAAGGAAGAGTGGGATTAGTAGAATAATCACTTCACGAGCAACTAGAACCAAAACATACTGAAACTTACCATGTTTACTTAATTTTGTCCCAACTTCTGGAAGACTACAGTAAACAACATCTCCTAATGCTTCCTTAAAAGAAAAACAAAAGCATCAGAGCATACATTAACAAAAATACATACAGGAGAAAACTGATACAGTGACTCTAAAATCTGCATATAAGTATTCTCTGTCTCTAAATATTGTTCTCATTCTTTATAGATTGAATATTTTTCACTTTTTCTTAACAAACACTGAATGTGAATAAACAGTCATGTTATCATGCCCCAAATACCAAATAATTGTTTCTCTATTACATTGCTAATAACCCTCAGGCTCAGTTTATATGCAGATTTCTTCTGGAAGAATAAGGAATAACACTGACTGATCTTCTTAGCATCAGCTACAGAGAGCTGTTAGCACACAGTTTGTCCTCACTGACTTAATTGGGACCCTTATCATCATAACAACTGGATCAACTCTTCTCTGGCACATGTACCCTATCTCACAAAGGGCCAGAGAGTATCAGTTATTGACAGAAATCTGAGATTAAAAGGAATGCTGCTTGTCCTGAGAAACATTAATTCCATTTATTGGTAACTTGTCCCATTCCTCTTTAAGTTTTACATACAGGCCAGAATTTTCCTGTGACTATTCCAAATCAAGTACAGCATGAGAACAAAAAATCCAAAGGAATTCCTGTGCTAGAGTAAAAACTCTGTACTGCCATGCTGCACATCTGCTCACAACTGTTCTTTAGCCAGAGGGATTTCACCATAGTTGTGTTCAGAGGAAATCTGACCTAAAGCAGACATGATGTCCTTTCACACAGCCATGAACTGCTCTGGCTTAGACCAGAACATTGAAGTCTCCCACCAAGTTCAGCTCTCCACAGGTCCAACCTGAGGCCATGAAGGCCTTATCAGAATGCTGAGGTGGCACAAATCTCACAAATAACGCTCACTGTGTCGCATATGCGATTGAAACAATAAAAACACCCCCGTGAATGTCCAAAGAGCAAGGACAGAGCAGATAGGGATAAATAAATATTGCAGAGCTGGGCAAGGACAGAGGGATCAATACCTGTGCAAAATTGCTGATTCCTACTGTTCCAATGCCATTTTCCACAGATACCCACTCATGCTTGTCTGTGAACTTGCGGGCTGAAAGGAAACAAAGCTGACATTTCAGAAAGAAGTGACATGCTTAAACACAATAACACATTTCCAGGCTTAAACTGTGGGGCTTTTCACTGAGTTTGTTCATTTTTCTTGGAAAATATTTTAACCAGCATATGTAATTTAGAGAGAAGCTCAGAACACGCTCAGTGACAGGGCAGAGGCTCACTGGGTGTCCTGCTCAGAGCATTATCAGCTCCTGTGCAACCATCTGGAGACTGATAAAGTACAGGAGCAAAAAGAGCAGTTCTACTTCAAACAGAAGTGCAAATCTAAAGCTTAGATGTGTGTTTTACTCATAGTTATACATGTCTATGATAGCACAGTGGCTTTTCAAACATATTTAGTGTTTATTTCTGATAACTACTTATTGTGGCTGGGAAGGCCAGTGTTGGTGACTCCAGAAACCCTGTGAGCATTACAGCATCTCATTAAAGTGCAAAGCTGGCACAGTTCTACGTATTATTAAGGCAAATTAATACAGGACTAATTAATAAGGCAACTCATACAGACAACTGCTACTTAATAGACTTGCTCTCTGTTAATATTGTTACTGTGAGAAGAACACAGTAGTTATTCTATATCTCTATAAAATGGGTCTGTTAAAACCTTGTTAAGTCTTTTCACAGCAAGGTTACAATTCTCCTTACATTTCAGATCTGGAAGATTCAAGACAGCTTTATTAGAGGCAATTGTTTCTATAAGGTCATATGGAGAAACTTCAAAAGAAGTAACTGAAGCAAGCAACATTTTCCTTGCTAACATTTTTCTGGAACTTTTCTTACTCTGAGAATTTTCTGTCTGCCATGTCTGTTTTCTCATTTCTACACAATTTCCCTATAGATGCCTCACTACCTTTTTTTTTTTTTAATTTTAATTAATTTATTTTTATTTTCCACTTGCAGCACCCATCCAGTCAGGCAAGGGATGTTGTAAAAACTGGCTCCCTGAGGGATTAATGCCACCTTCCTTTTGAGTTCAACTCTCCTCTCAACTCATCCTGTGGGCTGAACTCTTTAAGGCAAACACCAGAGAAACTACACTTCTGCACCTGTATACTGGTATATTCCTTGTGTATTTTCTAAAACTGTACATGAAGCAAAACAGAAGCTCTCACTGTAGACCTGGCAAAATCTTTCCAGACAGTCAATACTTTAAGCTTCTTCACTTGCAGTGATCCTCTTGTGTTTGAAAAGTTCAAGAGTAGCAAGTCTCTGATAAAACTGTTTATCTTAGAATAGGGCTCAAATTTTATAGAGCTCAGTAGAACAACATGTGGGTTTACAAGTATAATACACAAACAAACATGAGTCAACTGTAAACATGGAAATATTTTCCTATGAATTATCAGTCAAAAATCCACAGAATTTCACCTAGCACTGTTTTCTATAACTACAAGAAATCTCATTACACACTCTAATGAACAGAGCCTTAAATGTCTCAAATCATTTTGTGTCAAGATGCTAAAGCCATGGGAATTCTACTGGAAATGAGTAATGAACCGTAAGAATGGAGAATGACAATTGACAAATCTCAAACTCAAGCTGAACATTAGTGATGTTACACATGGCACAAAGAAGCCAAGCAGTACATTTTTATTCAGGGTAATAATAGTGTATGGAATCTGTTTATAAAGCAAAGCTAATAAAAAAACCCCAGAATATTTCACACCACTTTGGAATACAGCAGTGAAATGTCCAGTGCAGTTAGAAGAGCATGTAACTTTCTTGCAGGAGAAAAGAAAAAAAAAAAGCAACAAAACAAAACAAAAAAAAAAAAAGTGAAAAATTAAAATTCTGAGCATGCAACAAAAACCACTGGAAATGAAGGTCAAATTAAAGACAGTTAATAAGTAATCTCAAAATTTGAACTTTGAGCTTATGTGGGCAGCCCATTAAATAAATCAACCTAAAGGAATATGAAATGTCAATGCATACCAAATCTCTCTCTGCATTTTTTTAAAGAAGAGCAGCTGAACTTGCTCTAGCTTCATTCATTTCAACAGGACTTTGGTTTCAGCTTAACTAGCACTTTCTGAACTTGGCCCCTGACTTAGTGTAACCTGCCTCTATGAAGTATTTAATATATACCTGAAGAGTGAACTCACACCTCCACAAAGAGGCATACAAAGCTTTTCCTCACTGCCTCAAACAAAAGCACTGTTATTCCTTTGAGTGATAAGTACAGAAAAGCAATGGGTACATTGGCCAGAATAGTGAAAAACAGCTTAGATCTTGACTCAGTTTGCAAGTAGTGAACAATAAAAAATATTTCTTTCACTTGCAACAGAAGGCCATTAAACATGTGGGTTTAAGACAGTCTGGAGAGAAAAGGATGAGCTCTTTCCAGTGGTAGTCATTACCTTTACAGCCCATTCTCCTCCTCTTTTTGAACATTTCTATTTGCTAGAGTACCACAGATTCTGTTTTTCAGACTTTCATGAGTAATTTCCATTTAGAGAGCTTTGACATCGGCAGATCTTTCAGAATTAACTGCACCAAACGCAAACTCACAGCAAGCAGTGATGCACGGGTCCATCCCGTGCCGTGCCGCTGGAGCAGCTGTGGCTGCACAGGAGCCAGAGCCAAACCTGTGCGGCGGCTCAGGGCCCTGCGAGCCTGGCGGCTCTGTGTGCCCACGCCAGTCCCTGCTGCGCTCTGCCCCCGCCAGACACCCACCCCTGCCCCTTTCCTGTGCTGCTGCTGCTCCTTGGAGCCAACATCAGCTCTTGGTGAGCGGCAATCCTGGGAAAAGCCATCCGCTACTTCGGGCAAGCTGATGCGCTCCCCGCTCGGCCCGCTCTGCGAAGCCTCTGTCCGGGACCAGAGGGGACTGAGCGGAGACTCAGAGCAGAGGGACTGAGAGGAGACTTTGCTCAACACCAGCAGTGTGAGGATGAGGGTAAAAGTTTCTGGCCAAGTAACGGAGGTGCAGTTGCTCCTGTGGGAGTGCCAGCAGCGTCCCGGCCAGGTGAGAGGGGTTCAGCCATCTTGCGAGTTTCTCCGGGCCCCGCCGGCACCGGGGGGCTCCGGGCGGCTGCAGCATCGCGCTCCGAGGGCCGCCGGGACACGGCGCGGCGGGAGGCAGGGGAGGAGGGAGGGATAGAGAGAGAGAGGACGGCTGCCGCCCGCGGCCGCCAGCGGGACCCGCGCTACGGCCGCTCCGCGCACCCAGTCCCGGCTGGCGGGGGCTTCCCCTGCGGGCTGGCCCGGGTCGAGCCCCCGCAGCCCACCCGCCCGGGTACAGGCACCGCCGGCTCCCCGCTGCACCGGGCCGCCGTCCCGCCCGCCGCGCACCTCCCTCCCTCGGGCCGCCACTCACCGGCCAGCAGCAGCGAGCTGGTGCCCAGCCTGCGGGCCGCGGGCTCCCGCGGCGGCAGCGAGAGGAGCGGGCAGCGCGGCGCCAGCACCGGCCCGACCCGCCGCAGCGCTCGCCACGCCATCTTTGCCGGGGGCGGGCGGGGGCGGTGCCGGCGGGAGGTGGCGATGGCGGCGGGGCGGAGCCGGCGGCGGCCGAGGGGACCCGCGGGCCCTGGGGAGCGGCCCGGGCTCGGCTCCGCGCCCCGGCGGCAGCGGGCACCGGGCCCTGAGGGAGGGGAGCAGAGCCGCCATGTTCCGTGCGCCGCCGCGGCGGAGACGGAGAGGATTCAGCCAGACAGTGCAACAGCCGCTTGGTGTTTATTAAATAAATACAGGCGCCAAGTCTACAGCAAGTGCACGTGGGACGTTTCGCCTTAGGCTTACCGCTATTTCTTAGCTATTACTCCAGAATAACACGCCGGCAGCGCTTTAGGGGTGAGCATCACGTTGTTTACCCAGAGTCGCAGAACAGGCTGAGTTGGAAGGGACCCACAAGGATCGAAGTCCAACTCCTGGCCCTGCAGAGACACCCCAACAATCCCACATGGGGCTGAGAGCGTTGTCCAAAAGCTTCATGAGCTCTCCTTGGCTTGGGGCCGTGCCCATTCTCTGGGGAGCCTGTTCAGGGCCCCAACACCCTCTGGGTGAAAGAACCTTCTCCTAGTATCCAGCATAAACCTTCCCTGACACAGCTCCAGCCATTCCCTTGGGTAAACCCATTTTAGTCAGAAGCTGTAATAACCTAAGCCTGTAGCCTAACCTAACTCTAACCACTGCAGCTGATAGCAAACAAGTAAATAATTTGCCCACAAGCAAAGTGACTTTTCAAGGTGGTCTTCCTTCACTTGCTGACAGGTTGCTCCAGTTGTTCGCCAGTGACCGGCTTCTCTTCCTTCTTGCATTTTATCCCAAAGAAACTGAAGAGTTTCATTAGCATTAGATCAACAATCTCCTCTTCTTCTGAAGCCTGAAATAATAACAAATAACTTACTCAGAGGTGCCAAAGTGGATTCAGTCCCTGCTAAAGCCAGGGCAAGTTGCAAGACAGAATCTCTACTTGAGGTGAAATAAGCCAACTTTCACCAGAGCATGAGTGACTGCCAGGCAAAACACTGTGCCAATATTTTTATCCAGACAGAAGCCCCAGATGAGTATGGACTCTGCAGAAATTTTGGCTGGCAAATTCCATGGAAATCTCTCTACAGGAGCCTGGAGTGCACTTGCCAACTCCCATAATCATGGTATACACAATGAGACGCCCACCATTTCAAGACGAAGTAAATGAGAAAAACTAAATATATATTGTATTCTATCAACCATATCCTTTGTTTTCATCTCCCTTGACTTTATTTAAAACATAGAGGAATTCTGGGCAGTACTGGAGTGTTAAGATGGATTTCACACTGCACTATCAATAGCTTGAATGGGTCAGGCACTCACAGTGAGTTTTAAAAGGAGCTGTAAAGCCTCATGCACTTCAGTTGCAATTTTGGCACTGATTTCATTACAGCCCAGCACAAACCTAAGAGTTTTTTGATGGATGTAGTATGTGAACAGAAGGCTACAAATCAGATCTGAACAGGGACTCATCTGAACAGGAAAGGACAGTGTAAATCTGGAAAATCTGAAGTGTACTTTCTCAGCAAATGTTGCCTTGTTAAGAGTTGGACTGAATTTACATGGCTTTCATCCATGGTTGAATACCTGAATAGGCACTGAACAAAAAAATGTTAAAAGCAAGAGAGCTTAGATGAACAAACCTGGTAATGTTTCTGCTCCTCACTAAAAGCAACCAGAATCACCGAAATGAACAGATTCAGTACCACAAATGTCATAAAAACGATGCAGGATCCAATTAAGAAGGAGCCTAAAACTGGATTGTAGTCCAAGACCTGTATAATCCGTAAGGTAAGACATTAAAAAACCAAACAAAAAAGCATGCATGCCTATCTGTATACATACATACAAGCAGTTAAGACCCAATAAGAAGTCTATCACCTTGAAAATCCTGTGTCTAATCAATTATGACATATGCATTATACACAAATCTAAATTTTCTACTCTAGTATTGCCCTATGTTGATATGATATAGTACAACAGAATATTTTATATATGTGTGTGTGAATGTGGGCAGCCTTTGGGGGTTTTTAAGTATTTGCATTTAATTGTAATTGTATGACAGTTTCACGTGAAAGTTGATCTCTTCACAATCTGTTTATCCACAGAACAGCTGAAGCTTCCTAATGCCTCAGCTTTCACAATAGGTGAAATCCCTGTAAGCATGTCATTTATTTTTCTGTATGCTTTACAAAGAAGCACACTCAGACTGTCAGAGACACTTGTAAACCAAGGGTTGCAAAAAATCAAACCACTAATTTTTATATAAGCTACAACATAGGAATATATTTTCATGATTAACATGAGTGGGATGTAGAGGTGAAAATGTGCCAAATTACTGATCTTCAAAGCCACCCATGTCCCATTGGATCCATGGTCTAAAAACATCCACCAAGGAGGACTTCACAGTCAGAGATGTCCAAAAATTAATCCACAAATAAATGTTCAAAGGATATTGAAATATTTGAAAGATCTTACTGAAAAAGTGGTATATAAAGAATAACAACAGCAACAAATTAACATAAAGTTCCCCTGTGGAAGGCCTTGCCTTTCTTGGGAAGATAGAAGAGGTGTTCAGAACAAACACAGGGCTTTCCTCACATTTCTATCTGTAGCTTTCTAAGGAAATTGCTCAAAACATTTTGTAATCAATTTGTAACAGCTCTAGTAGAAATTTGAGCAGGTTTCTTAATGAAAGGTTCATTATGAGCCTCCTCGTGGTCAAAAAAGAAAATGAAAGAGCTTTCACTGGATGTCCTTGTCTTGCTCAGAAAGGGTGACTGCCTTAGGGAGCTGGGGAGCTTGCAAAATTAGATTAATGTTTAGCACTAATTGAAAGTCCTTCTATTTGCTGGGTCAATGCATATTTGATAGCTGAGATGCCAATTGTATGGCTGCAAACTTCTCCAAATTAGATGTGGTACCTCCTCATAGTTGAAGATTCCCAGCTGCAGACTGACCATGGTCTCTGCTGAATCAAGGAGGGTTTTGTAAGAGAAGAGCTTCCAGCCAAATATCAGGTTTGCCTGCAGAGGACAGAAGTCATGTCTTGTGTCATGATCAGAGACCTTTCTGCAAAATGTGTTCAGCTTGAAGACCTTCTATCATGGATACCAGAATGTCTTATATCTGATCAGCTTGCCACTAGATATGTAAAAATGATAATTATTTCCCACTTATAAACTAACCAAACAGAAAATGGCACTTTCTCAATGCTCTACAATTTAAGCTTTATCCAGAAAATCCTTTTTCCAGTACTTTGTTCTTTGTTGCATCTATTACACGCAAAAAGTCCTTATTTTTCAGCTCAATGTTTGATTTTTCACTAAATTTCAGTTGGCAAAGAAAAGACAAGTGGATGTTTTAATTTCTCTTTCATACAGAATACTTGGGCTCCAAGCTGCTGAACTAAGATATAGACAGGCAGCTTTATTCCATTTTGCATGGCAAGGCTGTGTTGCCTTTGGCATTCAGAAATAGTTGATTTAACCTGACAGCACCTGGGAGCAGACTGCAGACAGAGAAAGCACCATGGTACTCACAGCAATGGAGTAGGCAAGGAACATGACTGCAATAACAGTGATGAACCCAGAGATATCACCCCATGCCCTCCTCAGTGTTGAAGTGATCATGTTCAGTTTAGGGTTGAGCCTCAGCAGATGCCACAGTTTCACTGTGGAGAGAAGCACCAGGAATGCAATCAGGTAGCCAAGAACTGCATCAGCTCTTGCTGTTTCACTGAAGCTTATGGAGCTGTTAGGGGAAAAAGGGAAAATACATAATTTACTGTGCACACAGAATCCTTTGAAGTGCATAAGTGGGTATGCTAGAAAAGCCAGTCACCCTGTGCTGGGGTTTAGTAGAGACCTGATGAGTTCCTGTTTGAGTGTTCCCACTTGCAATTCCTGCTGTGTGCACACAAAAAGCTCAGTTGTGCATGGCTAAGATTTTTAAGGAGAGGAGGTCGAGGCTGTAGCCCAAATCCTGCTCATTATTCTGTGATTCTATCATCTCTTTCCTGTGTGACCATTTTTTAAAAGATGTTATAATTTTCTATTCTGTACTAAATGTTCCATTATTATCCTCTCACCAATGGCTTTTTACAACAAAGAGCAAGGCAGATTATGTGCTTTCTGGGTGGATGTCCTGTAGCAGAAAGGCTTGTTGGTTCACAAGAGGGTGATGCAGACAGGAAGGGAACCTGGTGCTCAAGGCTGCTGGATTTTATTAGAGCAGTATCAGAGGAAATTCCTATTGCTGACACAAATCTAAGCCCTGACACACTTACAGCCTTCATGAATACATAGCCAACAAGAATAGCAATATTTAGCACAGAAAAGGTGCTGTCTGGGAAGAGGAAAAACAGATTTATTTCTGCATAAGTAGCAACAACAATGGGGGCAGTAAATAGCATTAGTACTTACTCCTCCTTGTGTTCCTGGTAGTAGCTGATGTCCCTGGTCCCAAGGACCGTCCGTTTCACAAACACTGACAGAGCACTCCAGCTAATCAGTATAATGGCCATCTCCAGGAGATTCCACTTGCTGTGGAAGTATCTCCATCTCAGACTCTTCAGCAGCTTTCCCTGGGAGGAGTTTCACTGTTTCAGTCTCATGACTCCATATCACACAATCCACCTCTGAAGATCAGGGCAATGCTCTCCACAATAAAGCAGACTGCTCTGCATTAATAAAACTACATCTTGCACTAGTTTCTCATTATCTTTCTCAAAAACAACATCCAAACCAAATAAAGCGTTGCCTTCCTATTATTTAATACTGACACTGTACCTGATTCAGTCTTCCATTGGTGTAGCAGCTCCAGTGCTACTGAAATCAAGTACAGTCCTGAAGCTTTTGTAAGTGAAATCAACAGCAGGCACAAGGTCATGCTCTCAGGCAGACCTTCCATGGGGCTCACCTGTGCTATCATGTAGTACACAATGAAGAGGAAATAAATGATTTCTGCTGCAACCACAAAGATGTGGAGGCTGTCGGTGTAGGGGTACAGCCGGACACTTTGCAGCTCTGCCCTTGTGAAGAAGGCCCCTAAAAAACAAACAGGGGTCACCTCAGGGCTCCTTCTGCCTCAATTCAAACAGCTCAGCTCACCAGTGAGACTTCTGTACTTGCTTTCACATCAGTGTGAGGCTGAATTCAACCATCAAACTTAGATTTAGAGTTGACTGTGTGAGTAACCCTATAAGGGTTTGAAATTTTCCTCAAACAGGAATTTCAAAGAGTGGTAGTGCTCTCTTGTGTGATAGCACAATAGTAATCCCAGGACTGAGTTTGGATTGGACTGCAAATGCAGAAATACAGCAGGAGGACTTGCAATTTTTCAAAAAAGCTGAATCTCATTCTAAACCCAAAATGAGCTCAGTTTGGGCATTTTCCAGTACTTGGACACACCCTAAGGAGGCTGCTGCTCAGATGAAATGTTTTCCTATAGCCCCTAAACCAGAATCTGCTTTCACTCTTCTCTTTGTTGTATCCAGATTATGTATTACATGATTACACAGCTAAACATTAGAAGTCATCAGGAACAAAAAAACCCCAGACCATTATTTGCATTTTTGTCCTAATATTGTATTGATTAGCTGAAGTGATTAGGAAACAGAATTTTTCTTGTTCCTGTTGTGTAAATTCTCGAGATCAAGTTTCAGTGTCATGTTTTCTTCATCAGCAGATGACCACAGCATAAGAAACATAAGATATTCCATTATGATCTATATTACTGTGATGCTGCATTTTTTTCCTAAATGGTTTAAAAAATTTGCATTGATTCTCTCATGATTAGATTTATTAATACACTTGTGTTTCCTGAGGAAAGAACCAGGAAAACACTGATAATGTGTAAATCTATCCTCTAGGTGCATTTCTTGCTGTCTTCAGAAATGTGAAACTGAGGAAAGGCTCTCACCTAAAGCATTGCTTTCAAACATCAGGCTTATAATGCAGAACAGGTTCACGTTGGCATTGTAGACTGTAAATTCAACAAACACTGCTCTTGTGAAGGTGTCAAGCCAGACATTGTTGAAAAGGTACTGGAGAATTCTGCCAAAAGAATGTGTAGCCAGTGATTTCATTCTTACAGGAATGATACAGTATCACATGGAGAATGCACTGATAATTTACAAGAACACCAGTGGTACCTGGAGGCATTTTTGGGGTCAGTTCCCAGGTGAATCACATATCCCCCTCCGCTGTAGACAGCAAATTTACCCCAGCTGGGGTGTCCTCTCAGTTTGGACTGACTCTGATAGTGCCATGCTGAGCTGAAGTCAGAGGAGTTATCAGGGGCTGAGGCATTCCAGTGCTCCCCATAAAGTGATGTATCTTCTGTCTGCAGGGAGTAGGGAGCGTGGCATTCCTCAAGCACGTGCTGGAGTCTGGGAGAAACAGGGCAGGTGTCTCCTTTCACTCTTACTTGGCGAATCCGAGCACTTCCCACCAGCTTGGAATTGCCATCTGTAATGAATCCTAAACAGGAGATGGAAAAGAGCAGCACTGGCAATATGACAAAATTAATAATATTTCTTCATTTCATTTATGATTCACTGATGCATTAATATTTTGCCATATATTCTTTTCTCGAAAACACTGTAAGCAAAATAGTCATGAAAATGAAACCCTCATATTTATTTGAACTGAGTTCTTAAATAATTTTCCCAATAACAGAGTTCTGTGTCACCCCCATCAGTATTTTATACACAGGGAAAGTGAGGCCTGGGGAGAAAAGTGACTCACCTCAAGTCCCATAGAAGAGTAGCTTTATGCAGTGTTCATGTCCAAAGAACAACTCTGCTAATAAATTTCAATATTTACCCTTAAATGTGAGCTGGAAATGGGTCATATTTTACTGGATATGGCTGGATAGAAACATGCTGGTATTGCATAATTTGCCTTCACATTGACACAAGTTGTGATGCAAACAACTCTCCTAAGGAAAGCTGTATGGTGCCACCTGTCTGCCATTCTTTTTTTAATTATGGAAACAAAGTTGTGTAAACTTTCTGATATATCTGAATATCTGGAGCAAGTAATGTAAAATGTGAAAAATTTAGCATTGCAGTGCAGAACTTTTGGGTTATATTAAATATAAAGAAAATATCAGGGGATATTTAACGTAGGGTCAAGCTGTGGGGTTTTGTTATCCACTGGTATTCATATTATAAAATTCCTTGTTAGCCTCATACACTCACAGTCCCTTTCTCCACTCAAATATGAAAGTTAGAGATAAAAATAAAGTTTCAGAATCCAGCAAGCTGAAGGGAAACAATGTGACTCTGCACCTTTATATGATCCATAAAGATTTCTGAGTAAAGTCGTGTTTGCCCACGTGAAAAAATCCTGGTAACTGTAGACATCATGGAATCCATCTGTAAAGCTGTCCTCAATGTGTTTGTTTAAATAGTAGGAATTGGGGTCTCTCTGCCCATAGGCAACCAGTAACAGCATCCATAAAAACCCCAGATAGGCTGGAAAAAACCAGAAAGAGACAACACATGTGAGCTCTGGTTAACAATGCTGTTCAAAATAGATTGCATGAATGATTACTGCTGCCAGCAGCCATTAGGCCAAGGAGGAGCTTTGTGCACTCTGAGTGACCAGTGCTAATGAAGGCACCCAAGGTGCTTCAGTGTGCTGCAGTTTAGGTGTTTCACGTTTGGAATACAAGTAGCAGTCAAGAAAAGAAGTGGGAAGGCTGAGTAGATGTAGTCATGGTAGCTCCAAATAAAATGACTAGTCTAACTTTGTTCCAAGTGAAGTTGAGGTAATTTTTTTTGCCTTGGATTTTAGAGGAAATAAAACAGGGGCATAAATCATTACCTATAGATACTGTCTGCTTTTAGAAAGATGGCCTCCATCTGCTCTTTGCTTCAGCTTCATTTAACTGTTCACCTCCTCCTTTTATCCTTTCTGCTGTTCTTCAATCTCTCATGTTTGTGATGTGTTTTTTAACCATAAAATGAAGCCTTAGCCACACTTTTAGCTCCAGCTAACACTCCCACCTCCCTGCAGCTCCAGCTGCCAGGGAACAGCCTGTCTCTACATCAGAATGGCTGGCAGAAAGCTGAAGATATGCCAAAACTTTGTCACCCTAGAGAACAATATTTTCACTGAAGTAAAATTACTGATGAGTATCACTGAATAAAACAAGATAATCTACAGATGGGTAATACCCAGGATTTCTCTGATGAGGGCAAATGCTTTCTGCTCCTTCATGTGGCTGAGTTTCATTTTCTCCACATCAGCAGCAGGAGGTGGCCGGTAAATGTTGCTCCCACTGTCCCTTCGGACCCCGAGGAGAGGGTGTGAATCACCTGTGAGGGACAGCATAGTTAATTGATCATCCATGTCCTGCTTTTCGTTTGTTTGGACTTTCTAAGGAAACATTTCTATCTACTGCTTTCCCTCAGGAATAGAGGATGTGATTTAAACAATTCCTATAGCAATTGTAAGGGAAACAGTGGGGAGGGAAGGAGCTCACAAAAACTGTGCTGGGTTTAGGACCAGGTGTGGTCCAGGTGTCTCTCTAGGTGGTGCATTCACAGCCTGAGGCTGAGCAGGGAGGAAGCTGCAGATCAGATAACTTTGCTGGGCCCTAGGATTCCTGTCTGCTAGTGAAGGCTTTATTTAGAGATTATGACTGCAGAAGCCACTGCTCAGTTTAGGAAATAATACAAATAATTGTGGCTGTGGAAAAGTATGTAACCTGAGAGCCTCCATATAGGGCTTAAGGGATGTGGGAAAATTCCTTGTGAGAGGTTTTAGTTATGCTTGTCAGATACAGACCTACCAGTCTACATGAAGGGTGATTTTTTTTACTGTTCATTTATTTATTTTCACTAAGTTGTGGAATAGTTACAGGTTTTGTTGCAAACCAGTTGAGCTTAGTCACAGAATCATTCATTAAGCACTCCAAAAGCTTGGAGAATTCTGCACTTTCTTTAATATTTGTTAACTTTGCAGACAGTTACCTGGTAAAGGTCCATCAATAGCTGTGTTTTCTTCATCCTCATGTTCCACCTTCTTCAGAACCAGAGCAAAAAAAGCAGCAAATCCCAGCACCTGGAAGGAATCAGCTATAGACTCACCATATTCCCATTTCATATAAAGAAGCTCAGGCTTTGACCTGGATCCCTTTGCATCCAGGCACTGCAGGCAAACAGCTGTGCTTGGTTTGTTGAACCCATGCAGCTGAAGCCCATAAACAAGAGAACAGTGCACAGTGCTGGGGCTTGTCCTGCTAAACTGATTCTGTGACACATCCTCACTAGTCAGAAACCTCATTAAACCCTGGCAAAGCAAGGGAGATGAAACTAATGGAGTTAGTGTCAGCAAAACCCATCAGAACTCTAAACCACCTGCCTGCTCTTGTTTGAAGGGCAAAGAATTCTCATTTTATATCTTAAATCCTGCAGCTCTTTAGAACATTTTACATTGTCTTCCTGCAATGGCAGCAGGTGAGTTCATCTTGACTGGTGATTGTATTTCTGAGGCTCTCACCTTCAAGGGCTGTGTGATGAAAAGACTTTCCAAGAAGGAGATGACCATGGAGATGAGCCACTTGATGGAGTTCTCCTTGCCATAATGGAGTCCATAGAGCATGGTGAAGAACCCAGACACACCGCTGGTGGCTGCCACTAGGAACCAAGCAATGAACACAAACCACCAGGGCAGACCTCTGGGAGAACTTTTCTTGTCATCACTGGACAAATTCGGAGTATGGGACCACCTTGAGAGTGAACCAGAAGAGAAAATTCAGTCTGTGATGGAACAGGAACCAAAATCAGGTCATCAGGTTCACTGGGAACAGGCAACATCTTATGATATAAAATCAAAATATTCTTTTAATTAATGCAGTTATGTAGGATATATGGATACCAAAAAGTACAGTGAGAAAAAAATAATGAAGAAGTGTGCGCAGAGATCAGCTAAAATCAAAATAAATGTGATGGGCTTCTTTACTCCTCAGTTCATGCATAACTGAATCTCCAGTAGAATTATTGACAAAGCTGTGAGTGCATTAAAGCTGCTGAATGCATCTCTTGTGATCACCATAATGGCCAAGTGACGTAATTAGTGCAATTGTTTCAATACTTCCAACTTAATTATCAGATTTCACAGAACTATTTTTGTCTGCTAATTAACTTTTCTTTATCCATACATTTTAAAAGGCTTCTGTGACTTTGGAGCTGGGTGATTTTCCCAGCCCTTTACTATCACATGGCATTTATTGTAACTTTCCACTTTGGAGGCAAAAATGACAAACAGCAATGATCTGTCATTATTGCCTTTGTGTGCAGTTCACAGTGCATGGAAATTTCTCTGTAGCTCCTGCAGTGGTATAATAGTAAGACTTATTTTTACAGATATAATAATAGTTATCTAGCACATGTTAAGCAGTAATTATTTGGGCTCTGTCATCGTGTCCAATTTTGAATTCATGACCTGAATTCACTTATACTGAGAACTGGGTTACCCCTCACTGTTGGATGCTGATGAGCAGATTTGCTTCTCCAGGAGGTTCTTCATATGCTGAACCTGACAAACAGCTTGTGTGTAACTCTGAGGCATCTGAAATTTATGGGGCCCCAGTAATTCCAGCTCCATCTCTACATGCTGGAGTTGCATGTACAAGCAGCGATGGTAACCACTGTATTTCAGCTGGTCACAAATTCTCTTCTCTGGAGTTGGACTTCTTGTTTTTTCTGCAGATAAAGAATAAATTTATTAAATTTATTTATTTATTGAGAAAATAAATAGATTAGAACACTGTTCAAAGGGTGGTTTCTCTGGAGCTAAAGATCATGAATGGTATGAAGTGAAGACTAACATATGAAAGGACATGTAAAAGCAGCTTTAGTACTAGAGTTTAATGCTCTTCTGCTGGAATGGCCTGCAACTTTTTCCAGAAGGCAACTGAGTTGAACAGCAGTCCTAAAATCTTAATCCAGGACAGATCAGATCAACTCTTAATTTGTTCATGGTTTACCTGTGCAATTAGTAGCTTGGAAGACTCCCTGGAAAAGCTAAATGTGAGTCTTAATGAAATCAGTGAGATTGTTTACTCATATATTCCTGTTTAATTGAGAGTCAGACTGAAAGGAACAACAGCACAAGGCCAAGAAGAAAAGAAAATGACAGGTGAAAGAGTTTGTGAAACAAGTGATATTTGTGAGTCTTTTCATTTGTAGATACTGATCCAGCTCCCAAGCCATAGCAAGCATTTGATTCTACAACATAAGAAGCAGAGATTTCACAGTTGTCTTTACTTAGTTGGGTGCTCAGTGAAAGAGCAAGAGGCAATGGGCACATCTTAAAACATGGGAAATTGCTGAACATAAACAAAAACATAGATACTGGGCACTGGAGTGGGTTGCTCCAGTTGAGAATTTGTGGAGTCTTCATCCTTGGGGACATTCAGCATCTGACAGATTGGATCTTGGGCAATCCTGCTCCTGCTGACCCTGCTCTGAGCAGCCTGGTGGGATCCAGAGATCCCTTCTAACCTCAGCTGTTCTGTGATTCTGGAGTTGCCTTTGAGTCAGAATGTAAGAAGAGCTTGGGTCATCACATCCAGTGCTATCATCATTTTCATTGCAAGGGTTTCAGCAGGTGTTTCACAGTGTGTTATTTACCTTGGATATCCATAGCACCCAGTGTGACAATTATAGGGCCATCCTTCTTGCTCTCATCACAAAACCCTTGCCCAGCTCTGTTCTGCTGACAGATGACATCCTCAACCAATGACAGGAGTGTGTTGATATTAGCTGATTTTTCAAGGTCTGGTGCTGAGGTGGGAGATGGAGTCTTCAGGGCTTTAAAGAGTGAGCTGGCAATTCTTCTTATGTCCTAGGAAAGACAGCAGCAGCACAGCAGTGACTCTGGCTGCAGTGGCTTAAGCTGATGTGATCTGACAGTACCAGTGGCTGGGAGCTGCACCAACTGCTAAAATCTCCAGAATGGATAAGAATAGCACATCCTACAGAGCTGGATGTGACAGGCAGATTTCAGTGAGTTCAGCAAGGCAGCTTTTGTGGTTCAAAAGGGCAGCGTGCCTGCCTGGGGACCTAAGCTGAGAAGATGTGGTCCATGATACCTTTTATCTTCACTGTCTTGCCTAGTGTTTGCTCCAGCTCCTGAACACAGTGATTTGGGCACACACAATAACTGTGCAAGGGCTGGCACGTACAAGGGCAGACCTTAAGGAAGGATTGCTTTTAGGTGAGCACTTTGCACCAGTGGTAATTGGGTTTTCCCTCCTGACAGGCTGAAGAGCATTGAAACAGGGAAATTTGTGGAGCTGGGGAAGCCGGTGGTGTGTGGCAGCAGAGGGCAGTGCAGGACTCACTGGGACTTGCCTTTGTCACAGCCTCGGGAGTGAGAGAGGCAGCCTGGGAGGCCCCTGGGGTGGGAGGCAGGCTTGGGGACACTTGGCCGTTCTTTCCCAGCTTCTTCTCTCTGCCCTGCTGGGCTGGCCGGGGTCGTATGTTCCTGAAGATCTGCACAATGAGCAGGTTGATGGGGAACATGAGGAGGGAGCTCTCAAAGCCAATCATCACTTCCTGCCATGTGAATTCGATCTTACCTGTCAAGGTCAAACAGAGCAGAGAAGGAAGAGTAACCCCAGGCAAAATAACCCATCAAGTCCCTTTCTTGTGAAAAAAACCAAACATTTAATCAACTCTTGCTTCCAGATTCTGCTGTGTCTCTATTTGCCTGCCCAAGCAATGGTGAGGATTGTTACCCAGATCCATTTTCTGCTCAGCAGGATCCTTTGGCACCCCCCAGAAGATGATGCTGGTGAGCATGGTGCAGAGGAGCAGCGAGAAGCAGCAGGACACGCGCTGGGCGCGCGTGAAGGAACTCCGAGGGGAGCGGCTGAACACCGAGTACCAGATGTGCCCATCCTGGAAACCTTTGGAGGTCTTCATGAAAAACAGATTGCTGGGAAGGAGAAGAGGGAAATCAAACGGATATGTAGAAAGGAGAGGCAAGAACAAAGCCCTGGTTCGGGCTCCCGACCTGTTTATGCTTCTAGGCACTATCAGCAGAACTAATAATTATGAGAAATGATCAAATATCATGGCTTGATTTGCATGGATTGGTCATAGCTACTTATGTCCTTTTCTTTTGGACACAGGATAGAGGGAAAGCAAATAGTTCCTATTTAAATTGTTAAGAAAATTACAATTGAGAGAAAATGTTAGGGTTTCTGTGGGTTTGTCAGGCTATCCTTCTTTAGCACCAATATTTTCAGTATGGTACTACTGTTAGGGTAATGATTTGTGTAATCATCCTCCCTCTCACCCTTATTCAGAGCCCTTTAAGGACAGTGGAAAGACCTTCCTTGTTTTCATTTTTTTCTAGGGCTTTGGTCTGGTTTTTTCATGCTTGTTTTTCAAGACTGACTGCTATCAAGAGAAAAAAAAAATCCATTAAATAGGAGGTACCTGAACTGCTTCATGTCCTGTTCTGTTGCTACTGGGAACACTTTATCTAGGACACATTCTCCAATATCAATGGCTAGCCAAGAGTTGCAGAGGAAGTACCATTTCTGATCCCATGCCAGGTCATGGACTAATACTCGATTCACATACCTGTTGGAAAAACACACAGGGCACTGTCACATACCTATGAGTGTGTGAAATCCAGAGCTCAGCAAGGCTGTGGAGGACAAACTCTGGCCATCAGCTACTTGGGGTGACTAAACTGTAATGCACAGGACATTATGTACTGGACGTGGGATATGGGAAACACTCCTGGTCCTGCACTTTAGGCTATGATTTGATCTATTTAGCTGCAAAAAGTAGAATCTAACACTTCTTTCTAGAACTGCAGAAAGGAAAATTTTCAAGTGTTAGAAAGGGAAAGCTGTTGTCATTATGAAAGGGTTTTAGTGGATTTTTACTTCCCAGCCTCTCCAGATCTCCACTTACCAGGATGGACTGTGCCCTGAATTATCATGCCACAATCTAATACTCTGCAGTTCCCCAAGAGGAAAGAAGGTACAGAGGAGGAAAACATCCACTCCTCCACGTTCAAAGACTGGTGTATCAGGATCATTTAGATGGTGGGGCTCACTCTCTCCATCCAGTCCATAGAGGGTAAGAGTCACCTGGAAAATAAAAAGGCAAAATGAAGATTTGCACATCTCCATCCTAACTGATTATTTCTCCTTTCATCAAACCTCAGGGCTTTCTGGCTCAGACAGTGCATTTAAGCCATCCTGTTCAATAGCCTCAGATGCTCTGTTATTCACCCAGCTCTCAAAGCAAATAAACTCCTCCCACACAGTGCACTGATACCTTGGAGGTTGTGGCTGCACCTCGGCGGTGTCCTGTGAAAACTGTCACCAGGTAACGGTACTGGGCAAAGGGGTCATTGTCTTCCAGGACTGTGACTTTCACCTGCAGAGCCACACAACATGGGCAGTGTGTTAGCTGAACTGTAAGTACAGACTCCTGAAGGCTGTCAGTAGGAATTTGTGATCTTGTGAACAATGATTACTTACCAGTAAAGAGAGAGTTACAGGGAAAGGAGTAGGAAAGGAGTAGTTGTTTTCCTATTGAAAGAGGCTAGGCATGGTGGGAATTGAATACATGGTGGGCCTGAATACATGGACTTTATTAGCTGGAGACTTACTTTGGCATCATCCTGGATGTCTTTCCTTCGAGCCCAAATAACTACAAGCACATATATCAGAAAGATGCATCCTACAGTTGTCACCACCACAGGATTGTCCACGAATGTACCAAACAGCTGTGCTGTTCTGCTGACATCTATGGCATTGGGTATGACAAAGAAGGAGCTCCCAAAGAAGGTCAGATGGTTGCAGAGGCACTGTGTGCTGCTAGGGTTTGTTTTTGGTCCTACCTGAAACCCAGAAAAGATTTCTGATAAAACATCTGCCTTCACTATTAGATGACTTACCAAGAAAATGAAAAGACAGTGCTGATATTGGTAAGTTAGTGTAGAGAGCTGCTGCACACCAGATTGTTCAAGTTCCAATAAAGAATGTTAATTCTAACACCTAAGCAGTAATGGGCATTACAATATATTATGGCCTTGTAAGAATGGTTCCATTTCTTCTTATATAGAAGTTCATCCCAAGAAATGGGACTGTTGTTCAAAGGTTAGTTCAAAATGACTGAACTTCTTGAGTTTATTAAAACATCTCAGATTGATCATATTTCATGGTGTCAGTTACTGCAGATGGTGGTTATGAGGGCTGGCTTTGAAGTGTGTAACAGACACATGGTTTTGTTTTGCTCTACTTACAAAACATCCATAACTGTTCCAGCCTCCCTGGTGCTCGTCCCAAAACACGCAACGGGATGCAAAGCAAGTGGCATTTATGGTTAGCCCACTGTAGGCTGCTGAATCCATTTCCATATCTTGTAAAACCATGAAATAGTAGGTTCCCTCTCCAAAAATGAGTTCTTCTGGGCTGAGAACCCAGCTGTTCGTCTCACCTTGAACATAAATATTTTAGTTTCAATGTATATATAGAAAGGCTAAATCAGAAGCATGCATGTGATAAATGAAGCAAAGAAACAGGTGTGAAATCATTCTTAGCAACTCATTGATCAAATCAATCTTTCCTCCTGTTAATGAACACTTTATTCAAGAGATTGGAACTTTGAAGCATGAGGTTTCTTTCCAGCTAGACACCTGAACTCATGGTCAAGACTCATTCTGCAAGGTCATGAGTCATAACCACTTCTCTTACCTCCAGTTTTCTTACAGAACAGATGATTTTTCATATCATAGTTGGTTTCATTTGGGTGATAACCATACCCTAAGTAAAGTATTAGTGGAATGTCGTGTTCAGATTCCAGGTGGATCACTATAGATGTGTTTTCTGAGGTAACATTGACTTGAAAAGTGCTATAATTGCCCAGATTCAACAGAATCTTATCTTCCTGAGTTGCTGAAAGCCTTGGTAACATGATCTGTTTTTAAACAAAAAGACATAGGTTTAAATACAGAAAAGCATTTTTCTTCTTAGCATGCAGCCCACATGCTAGATTATCTTTTTTCATAACATCAGGATATCATGGCCAGCAAAAGTACCACTTTCAAAGTAATTTTCTTTTTAATGTCAACTAACCTCTGAAAAATTAATTTGAAATCTGTGTAGACTCATCACAAAGCCTAGGGTTAGTGCATTTCTGAACTGAGAACTGTGATTATGACTGAGACATTGGCTGCATAAAGTGCATGTATGAATGATTCAGATGTCAGTTTTCACATGGGCTAGGAAGCCAAAGAGTAGTTCAATAAATACAGTTGCTGGTTGGTGAAATCAGACTTCACATTGTGCTTTGGGATGATTGTAATCTGGAATCTATTTCCACAACCAGTAGCATTCTTACATCCATTCAAAGGAAGAATAAAATGCCTCCTTTTCAAGAAAAGACAGAAATATTTGGGGTTTTTTTTTCACCACAACCAGACAGCATAAGCCCATTATCTGATGTAATGAACACCACCAGCATCTGTGTTCACCTCACAAATGATAACACAAATGACAGTTTGGTAATGGAGAGAAGAAAAAAAATGGGAAAAGAGGGTGAGAGTTAGGAAATAGTGGATTTACCTCAATGTTCTCTTTGAGGTTGCTGACAGGTATGATCAAACCATCCAGACCAGTTAGACTTAGACCTCCCACTGTTCCACTGATGTCAAAACTGCTGTCACTGGAGAAAAAGGGATTCATGGCAAAGCTCACCATCTGTTCGGAGACATGAACAATCAGACAACTGAGCTATTGTCAATATTTCATTTTATTCACACCCTGATTATAGTGAAAGAATGAGCTCAGACCCAAATAGAAGTAAACTTACATGAAGTCTGCATCTGGATTTTAATAAGACTCTACCTTATCTCTAAGGTGGGTCTATAAACCTTGGAAGTGATTTTCATTCTGAAATGTATACAATCTTTATTGTTTCCATACAGTGTGACACCTTTTTGGCAGAGGTGGAAGAGGTATAATGAAAAAAAAAATGTTTGCAGGGATTTTAGGGGTCTTCTGAGAGGATTAAACCAAGCAGAGAGATCTTCAGAAAATGTATTATGAAAATATGACAATTATATGCAATCTATTGTTTTGAGAGAAAGAACACCATGTCCTAATTCAGATGGGGGCTGTGCTACCATCAGCACATTTGTCTCCTGCAGGATCTGAGTCCCCACACTCAGGTGTTTCCTGCTGGGATGAAAGAAGGCTGCTGTGGCTTAGTTTGAATGTGATGTGGACTGTGAGCTGTTGCATCCTCCTCAGAGCATAAGAAGTAAACAAACAGCAAACAGATGTGAGGTCTTGATTCATTCCATTGCCTGCTCCTGCCATCAATGTGTGAATCAAAGTGTATGTGAGGGGCTGATGGGATGGGGAATTTAGGAATTCAGTTGTCTTTGCTGAACCAACCTCATGCAATTAAGATAAATGAAAGCTTCTTTGACCAATAATTTCAAATTTTCTTGGCATGACAGGAGGAATGACACGTGCTCGTGTGTTCATTGTGAAAGGATAAACAATTCTAAACCCATTAGATGAGGAATGGAAGCTGGATATCAAATAGAGTTAGATAAAAGCTGTTTACTTGCCCTTATATCCACTGTTTCACCATCAACTCCTGAAATATTGAGAGAGGAAGCAGGTGGGAGAGTAAAGCTGGCAGAGCTGGAATTGGAGATGTTAATGGATGTGCTATCCATGTTTTCTGTTTGCAATCTGTCCAGTTAGGGTTGGGCATAAGCAAAGCAGAATAAAAGAGAAAAAATAATAGAAGGAAAAATAACCACCAGAAAAAAACCCAAACATCAATAGCATGGACTTCATATCTACAGAGAAATCTTTCTCTCTTCAAGAATATAATTTAGTTGCAAAACATTTCTAAGTCTGCCAGTAAATGCTTTGTACATGACTCTGTCCCTGATGCAGTACTCCATGTAATGCTACCAGAGAATCATCAAAAAAGGGCTGGAATTGGCACATCTGGAGAGGAAGTTTTACCAAGGTGTACTTGTTTGAAAGCCTTGGTTTCTGTGTGAACATGCTCTTGATCTGAATGCACAGTTTGATGTGGATGAAAACCAGGCTCTTGGGGAACAATTTAGGGATGATTATAGGGAATGGAAAATGCTCATCAGGCTCCTCAGGATTTTATTTGCTTCTGCCAAGCTGCTTCCAGTTCCATGTAACATGTCATTATTGGCAACTTGGAAAAGAAAAGAAACCCTCAGCTGGTATGACATGAGTTTTCTACATCATTTCAAAAGTAAGTGACTACTGCCTCATTCAGGAAATTGTAGCAAATTCTCTGCTGGTTAAAGAACACACAGCATGGGAATTTCTGAGGTGATGCTCCTGGAGTCCAAACTGTTCTTACTGTCAGCCACTAACAACAGACTTGATGCACTATTGAAATTGTCATTATGCTACAGTATTTAGTTAGTTCCAAACATTGTGTTTAAGCAGAACGGAATTAACATTTGTAGCTCTCAGAAGCTTCACTGAGGGACACTGCAGCTTTTACCTGTGCATGTACATTGTGGCAGAGGGAGAGGTGAGCACTGTTGGCTCATCACCTGGTGCCTTCCCAAACAGAAGGGCACTCTGGAGATTTTCAACTGTACTCAGGAGCTGGTGTGACACTGAACTCTGGAAAAGAATTGGAGGAGGAAACTTACAACAAAGGTACTCAGGATTATCAAACTGCACATTATTTGTCATTGCTCCCATTTAATTTTGGTGTTTTACTAAGCTGACAAACTTGGTGATAAGCTTCCTAATCTCAGAGAAAGTTATTCTATTGCAATTCAGTTTCTGTAATTCTCATTGTGGCAAATAAATGCCTTACAGATTTTTACTTCTATATTGTTATATTTATAACTTCTATACAATGAAATGACAAGCATGCCATCAATCAATATATTCATGTAGTTTGTGTATTCATGCCCTTAGCTGCACATGTTAGTGTTTTGTTACTTGGAAAAGCAAGACCTAATTGTTGTGTAATACAGTTGTGTATTATTAGCGAGTTATTGTTGGAAAACTTGTCCAGTTGATAATCTTTTCTCTCAGATTTATTTCATCCCTGCTCCCTTGCAGTGATGAAATTAAAGTATGTTCAGCCCAGGACACTCACAGAGTTAGCTGTGACAATTCACATATAGATAGAAAAGGGTAGGACAAAATAGATATGTTGTGTCTTTCTGAACAGATAATCAGAGCTTTCTGCAAAAGTGTCAGCAGCAACCAGAGCTGCTTCAAGCTGTGAAGTAGTGGTGGCAATCATGAATATTTAATACCTGTGGCTTCCTTGAATTATGAGGCAAAAGGAGGGGATAGAAGCAAATCTGAAAAGAATCTCAACATGCTTGTCATTAATTAGGGGTCAGAGCTGATGCTGTGTTCCCTGTCCTGTTCAGCTTTCAATATAACAAGTCTTGGGAGGCCTCTATCATCTTCATTAACAGATATCTAATCTAACATGTCTAACTGGGGAGAAGTTTCCTCTGAAATTTAGGTCTATCATGGTATCACAATGAATCTTTCCCAGTGGCAATTTAAAAATACAAGAGACAGCAGAGATTTTAAAAACCTCCCAAAGCAAACAAATATTCACAGAGTACAGTACAAACTGGACCAAATCTAAATTACCTGCTTTGCCTCTGGCACTGAAGTGTTCCCAGCTCTGATTTCTACAGAAGCTTTAAGAACACTGCTCACTGCATCAAACAAATAGTTGGCTGCTTGCTTTAACTCCTGGCCATCTCTGCTGTGCTCTGTGTTTACAGTGAGCAAGGAGGCACTGACATGTTTCAGAGTGTTGCTGGCTTCCACCTGCAGGAGAAATACAGGAGCAGTTTAAATGTGCTGCCACTACAAATGACAGAAGTGACACTTGTGTCATTTACTGAATATTGCAACATCAGTAATCTTTTGGGACTATGGGTGGGTAATGCCATTTTTACTATAATTATTTGTGCTGGGGTAATACTTCAAATGCTAATAAAGATGATATACTAGGTGGTACACCAAAATGGAATACAGGCATGAAAAATGCAGCCTGCTTCTACAGATGTAATCCATAAAAAGATGAATAAATCTGAAAGAAGCTTGTCTGTCAAACCCTAGGCAAGGATAGCTTTTAGATGTCCGCTAAAGTACTAAATCAGGTTATAAGTTTCTATCTTAGTGACAAAGTGCTAAGTGCCAAAGGAGAATGAGTTTTACAATTTTTATTTTGTGCCTGGATGCAGCTTTGGGACTGGGAAAGCATTGGCCAGATTTTAGCCCAGGATAGTGAAGGATAGTGAAGCAAATTCACTGCAGGCTTGGACACATCCATCCCCACAGCCTGTGAATGCTGAGCAGCCTTTCTGGAGGGAGAGGGCTGGATCTGAGCTGTGTTCTGGCCTTGCCAAAGTTAACCACATCCTGCTGAAATGCTCCAAGCCATTGTCTGGCTCCAACTCTGTAATCCATCAGAAATCAGGACAGCTGTTTTTATTGCCTGCATATTTGGGAAACTTCCCCCAGTGACAGTTAGTTCTGTCCTGCCATGTGCTCACCCCATAACCATAAATAGCATCAGCTACTAATAATGCCTTGTTGCCAGACAAGATTCAGGAGATACTACTGTGGGACCAACCTGCACATTTGTGCCCAGCTCCTCTGGGTGCTGACATGTTCCTTGACCATTGCCTATCTGTATTTTGTGCAGTGCCAGGATCAGGGATGAACGAATGTGGGCAACTCTAGAAAAACCCTCTTGGGACAGTTCTTCTTCAGGGTTCTAAAAGTGCTTTACAGGAGAAAATGTACACCCTGACATGTTTTTGACTAAAAGTTAAGGATTCTCTCTCAAAAATGTATGATGAATGTAATTGTCATAGCCTGGGTTGTAGAGATTGCTGAGACAATATCTGAGACTTGAATTTACTTACTCTAGACAGAGTCAAAATACTGCTGGTCAAAATACACATACTGGTACAGTTGAAAAAATGGGTAAGAACAGATAATTATAAAGCACTGAAACTCTTCCAAGGTCAGTGGGATAATTAGAGTCTCTGCTATTAGTGTGAGGAAATATAAGATGAATTGCTTCTTACCTGTGCTGAGACAGACAGCTCCTCACTCCTGTAAGTGATTTCTTTCAATACCTCTGACATCTTCAGAGCAGTCTGCATTGATGTTATGTTAACAACAGAGAGAGTTGTCAGCATCAGCCCTCGGAGCTTGGGATGAAAAGGGATAATTAGGCAAAGGAACAAGATGCTAATTAGGCTGTGAAAGTAGTGCTGTGTATTGACAGCCAGGCTTGCTGTAAGTTATGCAGGGGAGTAAGACTCCACAACAAGGATCATTTGAGCTCATATTAGCTCTACTGACAAGATGCCACTTGCCCTAGTAATTATATAATCATGAGTTTTATGTTACCTCCCAGCACAGAGAATTCATACACTTAACATCCATTAAGAGCAAGGAGAGTTACTTGTGAGAATTTGTACTAATGTATGTGAATTACTGTGTAAATGCCACTTGCAGAGAAAGCAGAGCCATGTGTGATTGATGTTATTCAAATAATGAATCTTAATTGAAGGATGCATTCTCTAGATCTCTTCATCTGAGGCACTCAAAGCACTGTACAAATATCAGCTTGTGACTGAAACATCAACTGGTGGCTAAAATGGACTAAAGAAAATTACCTGCTATCTAGTGCTTTTGGGGGAAATTAGATAGAATAGCTATCCCTCTGGAGATGCCATTTTACTGATATTTGATATTCAAATTGCTTGGGAAAATTACGTTTAGATTAACTAGTTCAAATTAATGAAATAACAATTGAGAATTAACTGTTTTACTGATGAATGATAAAACAAATAATTTATGTAGACAAATAGTGAAAACTAGCTGAGACCTGTGCCAAACACTGAGACAGATGCTTGAAACTTGAAACCTTCATTGATTTCAAGTGGTGATATGTGAGCTTTTTATTACACAAGAACTGTCAAAGAATCTATTATATGACATTTTACTGCAAGAAAGCATTTTGCTGACCTCTTTTCGTGTGTCTGTCTGTAAAGACATGTTAAAACTTTGCTCTTGGCTCTGCTGATTAAGGACAGATGTGACTGACTTGTACAGCTGGAAGAGACTCATGCTGCTGTTGCCATCTTTTAGGATGGTGTTTGCCTTCTCAGATACCACAGCCTGCAGGGTCAGGTTCCCATCCATCACATCTGCAGGGCCAACCTGGTGAAGGAATCAGATATGCTCTCAACATTGTCAAGGCTGTTATAATTTTCTTTGAACAGCTTCCATGATCATCTTAATCACAGCCTAGGTAGAGTGGGACATAAAACTTCATGTTCCCCATTGTAGATGGTTTTTTTTTTTAATGGCCTGATAAGGATCTCTGTACTGTGGCACTGGGGAAGAAGCAGGAGGCTTTTGGAGCCTGGACAGAGTAATTCCAGACTCAGTAAATAGGCTTACACTGCTCAGTCAATATACAAACAATTCTTATAGGCTTTTGTTCTAGAAAAAAGGGCAGTGGAAGATCTTTTGACCTTGAGCACACAGAGAATCGTCTCCGTTAGGTAGAGAAATGGTGATTATGGCACATTCAGAAGGAAGAATCTAAAAGAGGAAGAAACTCCAAAAGTCAATTATGGGTTAGTTATCCACTTGAGAGTTCTTGAAACTAATTAATTCTACTGTGTACCTTCACTGAAGCATTTGTTTGAACGGTATCACCAAAGTTGTTGCTAACAATAATTTTTACATGTACAATAAAATCATTTTCCTCTTCTCCAAGCGGAAGATAAACTGGGAAGAGTTCAGGATCCGGGCTACAATCCAGGAGAGAATCTGAAACAGGAAAGAAGGGGTCAGGGACAGCACAGAGACACCTCCTGCTCTCTGAGAGCAGGGGACTCAGGCCGTGTTCACCCGTGAGCAAAGCAGGGCGGGTTGTGCCTCTGCTCTTGTCAGGAGAAGCCAAACACTTGGCCTGGGGACTTACCTGGTGTCACATAGAAGCAATAGGTGAGCTGCCTGCCAGGGCTGGCCGAGCCGGGAGCGCTGCAGGAGACTCTGAAGGCGGT